CCAAATTATGTCACTAGTTCTCAATAAATACAACAACAACTTACAACAATTCCATATCGTTGAGTGTATTTTTAAAAAGTTGATTAATGGTAAGCGGGCAAAAATATTCAATGAAATCTGCATAGCTGAAAACCTCGTCCCAATATATATATATTTATATATATAATTTCCACCGATTTATTAGTGTTTATCAACTTGTATTCGAATTTTTCAATTTGTCTTAGTAAATTTTTATCGACAAGATTGAGTCTGTTTAAAATTGAAGCTTTGTTTTTATTAACAAACATTTTTTATCAAATTATTGCAGATAGATCTTTTTCGACGTTAAACCGTCATCGTCAGTGCAATTATTTAAATTTATTAATTAGTATTATTATAGTCTTAATATTATTAAAAGTATATACAAATAAATTCGAAAAAGAAACATGAAATTATAATGAGAAATTTTAACAACAAAAATTTTTTTAAAATTTTTGAAACGATAGTTGTCAAGGCGGCAAAAACAGCGTCAAAATTGTGAGGCACAAAATTAATTAACCTTTTATTATTATTATTATTATTGTTTCATTATTATTATTATTATTATTATTATTATTATTATTATTATTATTATTATTATTATTGTCTTTATCATTATTATTACCATTATTATTATACTTACAACAAATTCCAACCTTGTTAGATGGGGTAGGTCGTCTGAACCAAGGTGTCCACTATGCATCGCACGTCAGACGAACAAACATGTTTTATCCAACTGTAGCTCTGTTGCTTCTTTGAAAAAGTATTCGAATCGCCACAATAAGATCTTTTTGACGATTTTGGACAACATTAAAAACTGCGCAAATTCGGATATTTCAATATTTGCTCATTTAGATGGTGAAGATTTTCGCCCAGTGTCTGTACTTTTTAAATCTCTTCGTCCAGATATAGCTCTAGTTTACAATAACACAATCGAAATTCTGGAATTAACAGTATGCCACGAAACAAATTTGTCAAAGTCGAGAGAATATAAAATCAATAAATATTCACAAAACCTTAAATTAAGAGCAACTACATTAATATTAAACTTTTAATAAAAACTTTTGAAATTTCAACATTGGGTTTTTACAATACTTTTAAGTCATCATTAGTAGATTTAATTTGGTCGGAACATTTTAGAAACAACTTATTAAACTCGGTTTTATCATTATCATATTTAATATATTGCTATAGGAATATTATATGAACCTTTCTTTTCTAAACTAACATTCTCTATTAGTAATAATTTGTATAAAATGATAAGCGAGGTAGACTACTGATTTCATTAATTTCATTATTATTATTATAATTTTTATTTCAATGTATCATTATATTAAATTAATTTCATTATATTGATTATTTCCATTATAGATGCTATTTGATTGAATAAAATCATCATTATTATTATTATTTGCAATTTTTTAAATTTATCATTAATCAATAACATTTGGACAGATCAATTTTATAATAACCTTATAAACTCTGTAATATCGTCATCTTATGCCATCTACTGTGAACGCAATAACATTTGAAATGCTCGTTTAAAACTAACTATATCTCGTTGTACTCGTTTATTTCAAATGATGAGCATCGTAGAATACTATTGTATTTAATTTAATTTAATTCAATTTAATTTATTTTATTTATTCATTTTATTTAATTAGATTTTAATTAGACTTTTATCTAATTTTACTATATTTCATGTTTTTCTGGAAATAAAAGAGAGTTCACATTATTATTATTATTATTGTTATTATTATTATTGTTGTTGTTATGAATACTGAAAAATGCAAAAACTGAGAGACATGTCGACATAACAAAACAACTGAAAGTCAAATTCTGGTCAACATGCAAAAATTGTTCAATCCATCAAACAGCTTAACCCCATCATTCAGCATCGACGACTGCAAGAAATATTTTTACAACATACTCCACGACCCATTTCACAACAAGTTTCGCCTTTCGAACTGGGTTCCAACATTGCAACAACCAACAATTCCATGCAACATTGACCCCCCAACATACCACGAAATGGCAACAGTCATTAGAAAATGCAAACTTAGAGCATCCCCCTGTCCGCTCGATCAAATCTCAATAATTGTCTTCAAAAAATGCCCTATGCTGCGCACAATCCTTCACCAATTAATAGTCGAATGCTGGAGGTCTACTACGATTCTATTCTGTTGGAGAAAGGGCTTCACCATTTTAATCTATAAAAAAATGACCCCAATGACCCAGCTAACTTTAGACCGATAACGCTCCAACCGGTTCTCTACAAGATCTTTTCTACATGCCTCAACAACAGAATACACAAATATCTGGAAAACAACAGCTTCATCAACACCTTAATTCAAAAGGGCTTTTATCCAAAGTTGGACGGAGTGAAAGAACACACTCATCTTTACCCACCTGATGAAAGATGTGAAAAAACATCATCGAACGATCATCGTCACCCTTCTAGATCTCAGAAATGCATTTGGTGAGGTTAATCATGATCTCATCTCATCTGTTCTAAAATACCATCATATACCGGACCAGATGTGCAACTTAATTGATTCTATTTATGCTGACTATTCAACAACAGTATCAGTACGCGAGCAGTTAACTCCACCAATCCCTGTGAAACGTGGAGTGCTGCAGGGTGACCCCAGTTCACCTCTTCTTTTTAACCTCTGTTTCAACCCTCTAATGAGGATGTTGGAAAGAAAAGAATATGAACAATGTGGATACCTATGGGGCCCTGCGGCTAATCTAAAATCCAGAGCATGGCTGCAATTCGCTGACGATACAGCTATTATAACAAACAGCTCTGATGGTGCTCAGACTCTAATCAATCTCAACCAATCCTGGTGCAAATGGTCTGGCATGAAAATAAGAGTCGACAAGTGTTGCACATTCGGGATGCGAAAGCGGGATGGCGCATATGAACAATTTCTGCCGAAGCTAACAATAGACGACGAAACAATACTTCAGATAGGCGTCGATGACAAGTTTGAGTATCTGGGTAAATCTTATGATTTTGAGTGCAAAAATGTCGAGGAAAAAGAGATACTCTAAAAGAAACTAACGGATATGCTGCAAGTAATCAGCGACTTGAATACAACAGCTCAAAGGAAACTTCAAATCCTACGTCGCTTCATTCCGTCTCAATTATTATTCCAATGCGATTATATGATATTTCGCTAACTTGGATAGGTAACAGCCTAAACCCGTTGATACGCGAAGCTGTAAGAGATTGGTTGTCTCTTCCCGTAAGTAGTTGTGTTGCTGAAGTTTTGTCGTTGCCTTACAAAAGTGGAGGGTTAAACATAAAATCGCTAAAATATCACACAGAGCTAATGAGATTAAAACTTCGGGGACAATTAAAAACAAACACCAGGGAAGAAATGAGAGTTCTGTGGCAGGAATCAAAGAACGAATACAAAAAAGTCGACAACCAAATCCAAAGCAACGATATTCAAATGGCGTGCAACGTCCTGAAACAGCGTCAACACCAAAATGACTCCAACCATCTATCGTCGCTACAATGCCAAGGAACATTGATAAAATCGATTAAGGAAAACATTCACGACTCAGAGATCACCCGTTGGGCTAATGCAACAAAATCTCTGCCAGAAGTTTTATACAAATTCACAAGGAAATATCTCATTCAACAACTACCAACCAACGCTAACCTAGTCAAATGGAAAAAAAACGAACAACGCAGCATGCTCTCTCTGTAACGCCAAGGAAACAAATAAGCATGTAGTATCAAACTGTGGTTCGCCGTCTGCACTCACTAGGTACTTAAATCGCCAAATAAAATACTTGCCATCATCTTGAACAACATCAAGTCATGCATCAAGCCTGGAGCAATCATTTTTGCGGATATCGAAGAAGAATCGATCCGCCCTATGTCGCAACTGTTTACCTCGCTCAGACCAGACATAGCAATCTTGTGCAAAAAAACGTTTGGAATACTGGAACTAGCAGTCTGTCATGAAACCAATTACACCAAATCAAGAAACTACAAAGTGGATAAGTACAAGAACAATCTCAAGAATAACCTATCGAATGATTTTAAACATTGCAATATTTTAATCAATTCTTTTGAAATTTTGCCAATAGGACTTTATAATTTCTTCAATTTATCTCAAACTAAAATAAACTGGCGTGACGATTTTAGATCTAGCTTAATCAATTTTGCGATAGCATCTACTTATGCAATATGTTGTGACAGAAATAAAGCTTGACTCTAGTTTTTATATTATTTTATCATCTTTGTACACATTCATAATGACGAACATTGATGTTAAATTATCCATTATTTTAATCTTTTAACTATTATAATATTTGATCATTTTATATTTAATTGTAATTTTTATTTATATTTTGGCTTTTGAAGAAATAAAAGAGCTCTCATTATTATTATTATTATTATTATTATTATTATTATTATTATTATTATTATTATTATTATTATTATTATTATATAATATAATAATAATAATAATTATTATTATTATTATATAAACATAAAGGGGCACAACATAAAGTCTTTGAAAGATTCCACCGAAATGATGAGATTAAAGCTACGCAGCTACTTAAAAACAAACGAAAACAAAGAAATGAGATATCTTTGGCATGAGTCTTCCTTCAATTATAGTAAAATTGATAATGCTCTAAATAATGCAGACTCCCTGAAATCAGCACTGTCAACCACATTGAACAAACGCAGGGAAACGCAATATAGCCATGTTGAGGCTCTACAAAGTCAAGGAGTGTTAATAAAATCTATCAAAAAACACATCACAATCAAACAAATTTGTCGTTGGTCAGAATTATTGGCTGACCTCTCAGCTACTCTATTCAAATTTACTAGAAAATATCTCATACAGCAGCTGCCAACTAATATTTTTAGATGGGGTAAAATGAATAACCAACTTTGCCCTCTCTGCAAAGCCAGCCAGACGAATAAACATCTGTAATCTAATTGTGGATCAATTTCAGCACTGGCTCGCTACACTAAAAGACACAACAAGATTCTAGCGCTAGTTGTCAACGCTTTAAAACTACATAAACGACCGGAGTGTGTCATCTACGCTGATATAGACATTGAAGAAATACTTCCGATATCAGCCCTGTTCTAATCAATACGCACCGACGTTGCCATCCTCCGTGGAATCACCATTGAAGTTCTAGAACTTACTGTATGCTACGAGACAAACTTGGCCAAGTCAAAAGAATATAAAATCAACAAATACAAAGACAAGCTCAAGGCCAACCTCAAAGACAATTTTAAACATTTTAAACATTATACAATAATTTTTAAAAAATTTGAAATATCTCCAATAAATTAAACTTACAATTAATTAACATAATATGGTCAGATTCGTTTATAAATAAGTTGATTTTAGCAGCAATAACCCAGTCGTACAGTATCTACTGTGAACGTAATAATCGATAACATTCTTTGATGCTTTTAAACTTTTTCGTGCTTGCGTTAGGCAACGAGTAAAAAGTTTTATTATCAATAACTCCATTTTATTATTGTATAAATTTTAGTGATCATATTTTACTCACTTCATTATTAACTCAAACTAAATTTAATAACCATTAACTTTTAATGATTCTTCTTTGTCATGTACGTTTTATTTCATGATGCAAATAAAAGGCTGTTCTCATTATTATTATTAATATATATAATATATTATTATAATATTATATATACTATTATATATATATATAGATATATTATATAGGTTGAAACATGAGAGTTGGCAGATTTCTGCTTACTCACTGTTTTTATATATTTTAATCTGTTTTATAAAGTTTAATGGTTTGAAAATTGTTCGAAATTTGCGTAAAATTATGGCGGTCAATAATTTTTTAAATAGTTTTAATTTTAAATATTTAATTATTTTATTTTTGATTTTAAACTCAATTTTAACAATTAATGCAAGTAAATGTCCGTATTGTTTTAAAAACTTTATAAATGTTAACTTGGAGTTACCTTCAATAACACCGAATACTGAAAAGGTAGATACACCACTTTCTGGTTTAAAACTGCCCAAAACTGCGAAACGCGTACTTCCATTCGCAGGGGGCAAATCTACCCAATGTCAACAACATCGACAACTTCACCAACAGTCTTCAATCACTAATATATGACTACTTCACTTCAAACTATGGCACGTTGGAAACAAAAACAATTTCATCTGTTGATCAGAACAAGCCTATTTGTAAAAAGCTGTTTAACCCATCAAATAGTTCGCTACCTTTGTTCAACGTTGTAGAATGTGAAAAATTCTTCAAAAATATTTTAAATTATGAGCCCACCAAAAAGTTTCGTTTGCCAAATTGGATCCACACTCTGCCGGATCCATCATTTCTATGCTCTGTTCACACCCCAACATTCATCATCAATCATTCGCAAATGCAAGTCAAGTCAAACTCCTTAGATTAAATATCAATAATAATTCATGTTGCTCAATAATGATGGGAGAACTAGAGGGCATCATATGAAGTTGTCAACAGGTTTATCTCACAAGGATGTTAGAAAATATTTTTTTTTGTAACAGAGTAGTCGCAGACTGGAATAGACTCCCGCAATCTGTTGTTGACTCTCCAAATACAAGTGTTTTTAAATCTCGTTTGGATTTGTTTTGGGGTGATGCTAAATTTCAATATAGGTGATACTTTTAAACTGACGGTTCAATTGGATGTGTGTGTTGATAAGTAGAAATGGTTTGAGATTTTTAATCTATTAGTATGATTGAATAAGAATTTTTCATGGATGGATGGGAGTGGATTAATGAGAGAATTACTTATGCAACATTTATAATACTCATTATTATGAAGTTAATGTAATAATTATCATATGGTAAAAATATGAGCATAAATATAGGTAAAAATATGTATTTGTTTTATTTTTTATCAGTAATGACTGAGAATATGTATGATTGACTTGGATTGATTATTTCATTACCCATTTATGGTTGAATGCAAGTGCGTATTTCATTTATAAATTTTTTGGTTAATTATATTTTATATTGACTTCATAACTTTCTTATTCTTATTATTGTTTTTCATATGATTGTTTGGTTTTTTTTTATTGATTGGTAACAGAATACAAATCACAAACTGAACTACGCGATATCAAGTTATTACCACTACAAACAAATCACAAATCGGTAAAGGAACTAAAAAAAAAGCTAAAGCTACTAAAAATATTAGGCCAACACAACCACAACGTCGACAACCAGATCGTCAACACCAGTAAAAACCTCCGTTCTAAGCTACTGTCAATAAAACTTTCTAAACATAAAGGGAAAAAATCTACAATCACCACTCAACTAAAACAACGAAAAAAATATTTGCAACAACAAAAAATATGACACCATTATTCAGCTCGATCGATTGTGAAAAATATTTCTTAAATATTCTAAACAACATCAACAACAAGAAATATCAACTCCCTATTTGGGCACAAAACGCACCAGCGCCCACAATACCCTGCAACGTCAATCCTCCTACTTACAACAAAATATCTACAATAATCAGTAAATAAGATCAAAATCATCACCATGTCCGCTAGACCAGATCTCAATTATTCCTTTTAAAAGATGTCCCATATTGCGCAATTTTGGTTGTCCCCTAGAATCCCATCATGCTGGAAGAAAGGCTTCACATTACTTATTCACAAAAAACGTGACGCACATGATCCGGCCAACTTCCGACTCATAACACTTCAACCTACGCTCTATAAAATATTTTCATCTTGCATTAACAATAAAAAGAACAACTTTTTAGAATCGAACAACCTCATCAATAAAAACATCCAAAAAGGTTTTTATTCAAAGGTGGATGGACTGACTGAACATAACCAGGTTTTATCACACATGATCAATGACGCTAAAAAACATCAAAAAACAACAATTGTCATTTTGTTGGATTTTTGTTGGATCTAAAAAACGCTTTCAGCGAGGTCAGCCACGACCTAATCCCTGGACCATCATCATATACCGCCAATGATCGCTGATTTAATAAAATTCACATACGCAGACTACATCATATCAGTTTCGGGTTGCGATCAACTTACACCTCCTATCTGGGTCAAACGTGACGTGCTCCAAGGGGACCCCCTTTCGCCTCTGCTGTTCAATTTATGCTTAAACCCCTTAATGAAAACACTGGAAAAGCCTAAATATCAACAATACGGCTACAATTGGGGACCTGAGCCAACTTGAAAACAAGAGCATGGATGCAGTTCGCCAATGATACGGCAATTATTGCTAATAGCACGGAAAGTGCTCAAAAGTTGATCAACATCAACCAGGCTTGGTGTAACAAATAAGATTAGATAAATGCTCATCATTCGGCATAAGGAAAAAAATGCTGTTTACAAACAGTTCCTTCCAAAGCTGACCATAGACGATGGAACTATTCAAGTCGAAATAGGGGGCACTTCATATACCTCGGCAAAATATATGACTTTGAAGGAAAGGGCACAGAAGCCAAGAAAATGCTAATCAGTAAATTAAAAGACTTGTTGTCGGTGATCGGCGAATTAAATACGTCAGCACAATGGAAACTCTAAATCTTAAGACGATACATACCATCGCAACTGGTTTTTGAGCTTAGGACATACGATGTCTCGTTGACCTGGATTGGCAGCTGCCTTGACCCCTTGGTGGTAGAAGCAGTGAGAATGTGGCTGTCATTGCCAATCAGTAATTGCCTGTCAAAGAGCTTAACACTTTCCTTCAAACTGGGTGGATTAAATGTTAAATCTCTCAAACATTACACCGAATTCTTGAGGATCAAACTTCGCAACTATTTAAAAGCCAATGGAAATGAGGAGCTAAAATGCCTGTGGAGCGAATCGTTCAGCGACTTTATTAAAATCGACATTATGCTTCTGACGCCAACAACAACAAACCGACGCTTAAAGCAATAAAAGAACACACAACAAACCGCAGCTTTGAATCATCTGACATCCCTTCAATGTCAAGGAACAATATTAAAATCATTCAAGCACACATCCCAGTTGTTTGCATAAATCGTTGGTCGAGGTACGTAACATGTCTTCCGAAAGTTCTGTTTAAATTTGTCAGGAAAAGTTTAATCCAACAACTTCCGACAAACGCCAATCTTTAAAGATGAGGAAAATCATCCACTGCACAATGTTCTCTATGCAGCGCTTGCCAAACGTTTTATCGGCGCTGAAACGATTTACAACACGTCACAACAAAATTTTTTCAATAATATTAGACAGGTTGAAATCATTCGCAGGCCCTGATGTCTCTATATATGCAGACGCGGATCAAAATAAGTATCAGCCACTATCCTGCCTTTTCAAGACGCTACGTCCTGACATCGCACTACTTTGGGATAGCAACATTGAAATCCTGGAGCTCACGGTTTACTATGAAACAAACTTTCTGAAATCAAAAGACTATAAAATGGCAAGTACTTCCCATAATTTGCAAAATAATTTGTCCGATAGTTATAAACACCTTACACGTTACAATTAATACATTTGAAATATTCCCTTAAGGTTGTTTTAATACTTTTTATTTGTCTCTCATTAATTTAATATGGACTGATGATTTTATCAACAACCTTATTTATGCAGCAATTTCGTCATCACATAGTTTTTACTGTGATAGAAATGCAAATTAAATGAACCATTTAGGACTAACATTCTCTCGTTGTACACAATCTTTTTATGACGAGCTTTGGAGATTATTTCAGGACATTTTACTATATACATATATTTTAATTTTGATTATCGTTGACAATTATTGTTTCTTTCATTTCATGTATGTTTTTACAATGAAAATAAAAAGGGTTCTCATTATTATTATTATTCCAATTTTCACAGCTTGGTTTTTAAAGGCAAAATGGGAGAATTATATAAAGACATTAAAATAAAGATAAGAAACCTAGATCTCAAACGATAAATTACACCCAGATTTTTGGATAGTTTGCTAGATATATGATCAAACCAATTCAAATTACTAGAGATAACAACACCCAAAAATTTTACAGAATATACTCTTTTAATTAATATATTATTTAGTACTATAATAGAATAATAAATGTCTGTACGAATTTTAGGACCAAAAAAAATAAATAAAGTTTTGTCCAGGTTAATTCTTAAGTTATTAGAAACAACCCAATCATAGACGTGAATTAATTCATTGTTAATAGTAGAAACCAATAAATCAAGATTAGAATGCGAAAAAAGTAAAGTAGTATCGTCGGCAAAAAGTACAAATTTTAAAACACTAGAAGAGTTAATAAAGTCATTAATAAAAATATTAAATAATAGAGGACCCAAAATAGAACCTTGCGGAACACTTGATGCAATAGAAGACAGTTGAGACACAGAATTATTAATAGAAACATATTGATAACGTTCATGCAGATAAGAATAAAACCATTTATAAGCTATTCCTCTTATACCGTATCTAGATAATTTATTTAGTAAAATTTTATGATCCAATGAGTCAAAAGCCTTACAGAGATCAATAAAAACGCCAATAGAGAATTTTTTAGACTCAAGAGCAAGAGAAACATAATTTATTACGTCAGCAATAGCAAATTGTGTAGATTGTTTAGGACGAAAACCATACTGATTAGAGCAGAAAATGTTATTAGAATTTAAAAAATTAGAAAGTCTATTATGAACAATTTTTTCAATAAGTTTGGCTAAACTAGAAATAATAGATATAGGTCGGTAATTATTAATAATATGCCTATTACCAGATTTAAACAATAGAAATCTTTAAACATTTAAGGTAATAACCATTATTAAAAGACAAATTTATTAAATGTTGTAAAGGAATAATAATATTATTAAAAGTTTTTTTTAGTAAAAAGTTTGAAAAACAATCATCACCCGAACTATAAGAATTTTTAAAATTATTAATAGAATAAATGATTTCAAGGAAGGAACAATCAAATTTTGTATAAGAATTAGAGGGATTATTTTCAAACGACATGACCAAAGATGTAAATACAGGAAAATGATCAGATAAAGAAGAGTAAATTACACCTGATTTATGAGAACTCAAATTATTCGTAAAAATATTGTCGATTAATGATGAATTAGCAATAGTGACACGAGTAGGAACAGAAATTAAGGGAATAAAATTAAATTATATATATATATATATAAAATTTTGATTATCATTGACAATTATTGTTTCTTTCATTTGATGTATGTTTTTAAGATGAAAATAAAAAGGTGTTCCCATTATTATTATTATTATTAATTTTTTTTATTATTATTATTAGGAACCTTCTAGAAAACAACACAAAAATTCTATACAACTATCAACAGCACAACAACCTAAGAATTGCAGATGCCATTTTCATCGAATCTGAAAACCTTCCATCAACATCCAACAACGAATCACAACAACATTTTCCAACTCGAATAATGAACAACAATAACGTTAATCGGATCAACCAGCAATCTAACAATGATGATAATAACAATAATGATAATAACAACAACACCATAAACAACAGTATCAACAACAACAACAACAATAATAATAATAATAACTATAATAATAATAATGGGAACAATCTCTTATTGACCGAAAAGATAAAAACAAAATGAAATCATTTGAAAATTTTTAATAATTTATAAGAGTGTAAATAAATAAATGTAAATAATTTATAAAATTTTATAAAAACAAAAAGGAAAAGAAAATCCATTAAAATGAACGATCCTCTTATGCTCATTATCGTTGATAAGTGCATGATAGTAATAAAATATATTTAAATGGTATTATGCACTGTTTCTGTCACAATATATTCCGTATGACAAACTGATTACGGTTTTTACAAGTTTTTCATAATAAGAAATAGGCCATAAGATTTTAAATAAAGATATGTGAAGATTGTTATAAAAGCCAATTAACGATATTTTAAATGAATTGAAGTAATAAAGTCGTTATTTAGATACGACTGCAGGTTTCTGTATTTATGGCGCTTATATTGTCTGGATGTTAACATGTTTGTTTCGTGGCATATCGTCAATTTTACAACTTACATTTTATTGTCCCTCAGAATGGCAACATCTGGACGTAGCATGTTGAACATCAGACATTGGTCAGCCGAAGTATCTCGTCAAGGCAGAAGTTGAAGCGCAATTTGACATTACATGTTTATTCGTATGTCGAATTTTGCATAGCGGACACAAGGGTAATGCAGTTTTGCCCCACATAAACAAGTTTGAGTTTGTGGGCAGTTGTTGCACAAAATATTTTCTTGTGAATTTTTATAATACTCCTGGTATGTTATTTGTAATCCTTGACTAGCGCGTAATTTGTACTGGTGTAATGACATCGACAATTGTTTTGAGTATCACTTGGGACTGCAGTTCAACAACGTGGTTGTAACAGGACTTCAAATGAGCTTCATCAATAAGAGCGAGAGACTGCTTCAGCGAGCCCGTGTCAGACAGCAAATTGTTAGGTTTGATATAAGACGAAGTTGTTTCTTGAAATAGACATTGGATTTCCACGTTGATGCTGTTCTTAAAATAACTTCTAATTTTTAATTTTGTTTTTTTAGCAATGTATTTCAGTAATGCAATGTTATTGCCGCCAAACTTTGTTGGTAGCGAAAGCATCTGGGACACACAGCCACTGACCGGCATTGCAAACCCACTCTCTGGCCTTCTCCAATATCCAAGTCAATAAAAAATTATAGCAACAGAGTTCGTATTGTAGTTGGGAAGGGATGAAACTTCTTAAAATCTGAAGCCTCTGTTGTGGCGTGATGTCGAGAGACGAAGTGGTTTTTAAGAAACTGGTCAGTTTTGAAACAATCGCCTTTTTGGATTTTTTGCCTTTGCCCTCAAAATCATATGATTTGTCCAAATAGACAAAACAATCATCAATTTTTATATCGGAGATCACATCATCATCGATCGTCAGTCTTGGAGAAAACTGTTCGTATGCTCCATCTTTTTTCCTCATGCCAAATGCGCTACATTTGTCTATTTGCATCTGCATGTTTGACCACTTACACCAAGCGTAATTCAAATCAATTAGCTTCTGGACACTTTCTGTACTATGGGCAATAATAATAATAAATCATTTTGTTTCAAAGTTCTTTGAACGTCTAGTGCTGACTAGTTTGCTAGGTCATTTATCCATTTATCCACCCATAGACTCTTGCCGTCGGTTCAGTCGGCTTACAGACCTGGTTCATCTACGGAAACTGCTCTCCTAAAGGTATTTGGTGATAAAGTAAAAAAAGTTGATAATGGTAATGTGGTATGGTTGGCGATGTCGGTGTCGATCGAATAAGGCATACATCGTCAGAGAAATAATGTCTACTTTCACTGACGGCGAGTACATCCAGCTTCTTATCACAGACAAGTTCTCTTACGGCCATATATTTATTTTGTAAACTATTTATGTTTATGTGAGGAAAATTTATATTATTTTTTACACAGCAACAATTTTTCGACAGATTAGTTTTATTTCGCCGAAACTTTAGGCGCCAAATATGAAATTTAAACAAAGTTTTTCCAATCCGTCTTGAAACAGTGTACGTGTTTAAGCTACGTAATTTGTCTGAGCTGTACTTTAACAGCTTAGTGCCTTCCATTAACATAATTAATTCAAGTTGCAACAATAGCCAAAATTATTACAAGTTAGTTAAAAAAAACAGTTAATTAACAGTTAATTAACAAATTACTTTTAACAAATCTATGACCGAAGAGTTTATCCGCAAAACGAACTAAAATTCAGCAACAATAACGAATGCTAAACGTCAAAAAATCAGAAAAACCAGCGAACTTAAGAAACACGTTTACCAGCTGATAAACGCAAACGAAATATATATATTTAAACGATATATTGGCTAATAGGTTGATCTCGTCTGGCAAGGTCAAAAACTTGGATGTGATGTTTGACAGTTCTATGAAGATGTTGCTTCGGGTCGCGAAACTCAATGCTATCTGCTTTCTTCAGCTACGAAGATTGTATCTGGTCAAGAAATGTCTTTCAGTTGATATTTTTATTGGCCTAGTGTTGACTTTTTACTGTTTAGATTAAACTATTGCAAGTTGTTGCTGTATGGTGCTGGTGTAGTAGGGTTAGTAAATAAAGTTCAACAAATCCAGATTGGTCAATGTTCTAAGTAGACGTGATCACATTACAAAGTGGTTGTTAAGTTTCCACTGTCTACCGATCAGGGAACGGTTAAGATTTAAGATGGTCGTGGTGGCTCATGGTTGCGTAAATGGTGGTGGCCCAGAATATCTGAAGGAGGTTGCAATTAATAAACTGAATAAATGCTTTGGAATCTGTTGGATATTAAAAACTGTTAAAAACGTTGTCATAAAAGTTAAAAGGATATTATAACATTAACAGTTTATGTCGTCATCACTTTGTCTTCGTCAACAGCAGCAATAACAGTTCATATTGTCATCACTTCGTCTTCGTCAACATTAGTAGTAGCGGTTTGATACAAAAACTTTAAAAAATCTCATCACTAGCTCAGTATAAAAAGTCTGCAAAAAACCATGGATTAACCGGTGACGAGGCTTAGAAGTTTATCCAGCAACAGCAAGAAAAGAATTCAGAAAGACAGGAAAAACAACGTATCCATGAACTTGAAATGCAACGGCAACAGCAAGAACAGCAATGTATGCATGAACTTAAAATGCAACGGCAACAGCAAGAAAAGGAGTCAGAAAGACAGGAAAAACAACATATGCATGAACTTGAAATGGCCAGAATACAACAAAGAAATAACAATAAAAATCATTTTTATAGATTCCATCAGTTGTAAAAGATGTTTCCTTTTAACGAGGACACCGAATGTATTGATTTGTACCTGGCAAGATTCGAGGATTTTGGCCGTGCTTGTGAATTGCCAGGACATGAATAGACTCGAAGTTTGTCAGGACATTTGAAAGATTGAGCCATTAACATATGTATACAAATGAATGAACAGGACAGAAATCAGTATCCAATTGTGAAAGATGCTCTTCTGAGACAATTTGGAGCAACTGAAGAAGAATACAGAAAAAAATTATTTCATAGTGTCCCTGACCATAAAGATGATCCAAGATTCGAGGATTTTGGCCGTGCTTGTGAATTGCCAGGACATGAATAGACTCGAAGTTTGTCAGGACATTTGAAAGATTGAGCCATTAACATATGTATACAAATGAATGAACAGGACAGAAATCAGTATCCAATTGTGAAAGATGCTCTTCTGAGACAATTTGGAGCAACTGAAGAAAAATACAGAAAAAAATTATTTCATAGTGTCCCTGACCATAAAGATGATCCACGTCTGTTTGTGACAAATGTGACAATGTACTTCGATAGATGGTTAGCCATGGCAGATGTAAATCAAACATATGAAGCAATTAGAAACTACATAATACTTGACACAGTAATTAATGCATATAGTGATCAAGTCCAAGTGTTTGTGAAGGAACGTTGCCCTCGAACCTGGACGCATTAACAACACTGACTCGGCAATACAAAACTGCCTATCCAAACCAGATATTATCCAGGCCAACTACAGTACAAACTGCATTTTTTGCAGCAACTAAAACTAACAGTCAGAGAATGAAAACCAATGTTGAATATGGAAGAACGGACAAGAGATACAAGGCACAATAAAACACAAAAAAATAAATGATAATTTATCACCATACTGTGAAATTTGCGGGAAGAATAACCATAGAGCCGACAATTGCTATTTCAGAAATTCCAACTAACCTCAAATTCACAATACCCATACAGCTCGAAAATTACCAATACAGTATAAGCCAGTGAGTAAAGTTTTTTTTGCAAAGATTCTACAGGGCGATGGTAAACTAGTATTGTTCACAGCATTTGTCAACCAATGTAAATGTACTACACTAAGAAACTCAGGTACAACCACTTTATTAGTACATCAAGATTGTGTAGAGCCACATTCATACACTGGAGAGTATGGAAACATTAAAGATTTCAAAGGTAATGTTAGTACACACCCAATAGCAATAATCCATATTGATAGTCCTTATTTGACAGGATGTACAAAGCATTAGTATGAGATCAGCCTCTGGACGGCATTGACTTGATTATTGGAAACATCACTGATGTCAAAGATTGTACAAGATCTGATGTCATACAGTGGCAGAATAACCATGAAGTAAACAGGTCCATGGCGATTACCAGAACACAGAGTAGAAGAGAAAAGGATCTGAAAAAACTAGATCAAAACTATAGCAGCTACAATTTATCGCAGAACAAATTATGTTGGGGGTTGATGATGAGGATGGAGTTGATTGTAACAGTGATAAGATGAATAAAAATAATAACAACAGTGATAAGATGAATAAAATCAATAACAACAGTGATGAAATAAATAACAATAATAACAACCGTGATAATATCAGTGATAAGATGAATAAGAACAGTAACCACCCATATAAGCTGAGGGAAAATGAAAACATAAATACTACACCAGTGAATTTGGCAAACGAACAGTTGGAAGATCTTTCTTTAAAAAAATTGATTCAGCATCGAAGAAAAGATCCAAATGCCTTGATCATGAAACAAGAGGATGGAATTTATGTCAGAGACGTTAACCTCAAGACTGGACTGGTAAGATACCACAAAGATACAGACATAGAATTTTAGAATTGGCTCACGACACACCATTTGCGGGACATATGGGTGTCAAAAGAAAATTAAACAGGATATTAAATGAATTTTATTGGCCAAACATCACCAAAGATGTCGAACAGTATGTCAGATCCATGGTCCAAAAGGTTCATACATTCAGGCACCAATCCAAACAACATCGACCGCAGAGTTACCATTTCAGAAGGTTGCGGTGGATATCGGGGGACCGATGCCGGTGTTGTCTAAGAGGGGTCACAGATACATCCTTACAATAATAGATCTGTGTACTCGTTTTTCTGAGGCCATACCATTGAAACATATAACAACAAAAGATGTAGTTGCTGACACGTTGTCCAGATGTGGGGATGGTTAATCCAAGGATGTAGAATTGCCACACGGAACCACCAGCCTCGCGTGGGTTGGGGGGATGTGACGAATAAGAATCGTGCGCTTAGCGTTTTTTAGTTTCAGAACCGTATGGTGAATAGTTGAAGCGGGTTTTTTAATGGTAGTTAGTTAGTTTTGCTAGAGGTGATTTGAAGGACTTGGGCCATATTTTAATTTTGGAGTTTAAAAACTAACTTTTTGTTTTGCGTTGTAGAATCATTTTTTTGTCATAGCATAAAGAACTCGTAACAATAATAATAAAAATTGGAACAGATTTTTTATTTTTCATCACATGCGTAAAATCAATAATTAATTAATTAATAGAGAAATAGTCATGATTAAAATAAGATTAAAATATAATCATAATCATCATAGTTAGTCATCATTGCTCTTTATTTAAAATAAAATAAGTACAGCGATGATAAGATAGTTATGAAAATTGGTTCACGCATTGTTCCGATCACAATATATGGCATATGATGATGATATCACACTGCTAATTAAACTTTGGCGAAAATATTCGGTCCAATCAATTTTAGTTAAAAACAAATTGAAAGAATTGTAAAAACCTATAGGTGATAATTCAAAAGAATTTATTAAAATGGTATAATGATTAAAATTGTTCAACAGGTTGTTTTTGAGGTTGGTTGTATATTTATCGAGTTTGTATTGCTTGGACTTGACAAAGTTTGATTCGTGGCAAGTAGTTAATTCAAGTATTTCGATCGTATTGTTGCTGAGAATGGCGATGTATGGTCTAAGCGATCTGAATGGCTGTGATAGTGAACGTGTCGCATCATCCTCTACATCCGCGAAGATGGCGATATTCGGACCAGCACATGCTTTGATATTGTTGATGATTATTGAGAGAACTTTATTGTGGCGATTTAAGTATCATTTGAGTGCTGCCGTTGAGCTACAATTTGAGAACACGTGTTTATTAGTGTGTCTCACGTTGCAAAGAGAGCATAATGCATTGGTTGTTTTGCCCCATCTTTGAAGGTTAGCATTTATTTGTAGGCAGTTGTTGTGTAATATATTTTCTTATAAATTTATAAAGGACTTCTATTAATTTTACTCTCGATTTAGACCATCGTGCAATCTCTGAGTTGTAGATATTTTTATTTACTGATTTGACCAGAGCTCCTTGACACTGCAGTATCGACAGGTGGTTCAGGTTCTTCTAGTGATGTTTTCGTTTGAGAGCTTCAAGTACCTGCTTAATATCAACATTCTCTGGAATGAGATTGTCAACCTTTCTATAAGGCGTTCCGGAGAGATTTTATTTCATCGCTTGCGTTTCGTTTAAAGTAACCAAGGAGTTTCATCCTTGCCATTTCAGCATGGCACTTCAGCGATTTTACGTTGAGGCCTCCAGATTTGTAGGGCAGAGATAACATTTCGTCGAATGTCGTACATACGAAGTTCAAATATTAATTGGGATGGAACAAATCGTCTTAAAATTTCAAGTTTCCACTGGACGGACGTATGTAGTATTTGTTTTAGTTTATTATGTAGTAACTCCATTTTATTTGCGTTCCTACAATCGAATTCATAAATTTTTCCCAAATATGTGAAATGATCGTTGATGTTGATCTTAGGAATCGTCTCGTTATCAATTGATAATTTTTGTAAAAATTGTTCATATCTTCCGTCGATTTTTCTCATCCCAAATGTACAACATTTGTCTATTCTCATCGTCATACCTGTCGATCGGCACCAAGCTAGATTGAGATCAATCAGTTTTTGGGCTCCCTCTGTGCTGTTTGCAATGATTGCTGAATCGTCAGCAAATTGTAGTCAAGCTCGTGACTTCAGGCTAGCAGTTGGTTCCAAAATGTATCCGCATTGTTGATAATATTTTTGCTGTAATACTTCCATTAGAGGATTGAAGCATAAGTTGAACAGCAAGGGGGAGCTGGGATCGCCCTGCAGTACCCCACGTTTCACCGAAATTGGTGGAGTTAAATAATTACACACAGATACAGTAATGGAGTAATCAGCATATATTGATCTAATCAAATTGCTCACTTGGTCCGGGATATGGTGATGTTGAAAAATTGATGAAATGAGATCATGACTAACTTCACCAAACGCATTTCTTAAGTCCAAAAGAGTAACAATAATCGTTCTCTGGTGCTTTTTTTGCGTCCCTCAGTAGATGCGACAATAAATGGGTGTGTTCAGCTACACCGATTACTTTTGGGTAGAAACATTTTTGATTGTTTTATTGATGATGTTATTCATTTCGAGATATTTGTATAATCTATCGTTGACAAATTTTGAAAATATTTTATAGAGAACTGGTTGAAGCGTTATTGGTCTGAAGTTTGCTGGATCGCTGGCGTCACTTTTTTTGTGTGTCAATATCGTCAGGCCCCTTCTCCAGCGTGAAGGGATTGACGATGATTTCTAGCATTCAACCAGCAGTTGGTGCAAAATTGTGCGAATTATTGGACATATTTTGAGAATTGTTATTGATATTTGATCTAAAGGGCAGAAAGATGCTCTTGACTTGCATTTGTGAATGATTGATGAAATTTTGTTGCATGTTGGCGGGTCAACAGAGCATGGAAATGATGGATCCGGCGGAGTGTGGATCCAATTTGGCAGACGGCACTTTTTGTTGTGCTGATTATTTAAAATATTTTTGAAGAATTTTTCACATTCTGTAACGTTGAACAAAAGGTAGCGAACTATTTCATGGGTTAAACAGCTTTTTACAAGTAGGCCAGAATTTTTGTTGCAATTGATTGGTAATATCTGAGTTCTTCCTATATTTTTTTTGCGCTTTCAAGGCCGATAGCCTTGATCCTATTTCTTTACTAAGCGCTTTGATTTGCAAGTCGTAGTTGTGATTGTTTTGGCCCAGGACTTTGAGTTGTTTCAGCTCCTTCTTTAGTTTGTTGATTGGCTTGTTCTGATCAACAAATGAAATTGTTTTTGTTTCCAACGTGCCATAGTTTGAAGCGAAGTAGTCGTATATTAGTGATTGAAGACTGTTGGTGAAGTTGTCGATGTTGTTGACATTGGGTAGATTTGCCCTCTGCGAATGGAAGTACGCGTTTCGCTGTTTTGGGCAGTTTTAAACCAGGAAGTGGTGTATCTACCTTGTCAGTATTCGGTGTTATTGAAGGTGGGACAAGTGATTGTTGCTGTGGAGAAAGTAACTCCAAGTTGGAACCATCATCTGGGTCGTTTGTTGTACTATCCGAATTTGAAAAGTTTTTAAATATTTTGCTCGTTGCATCCTTAGACCCTTTCTGCCTTTACAGCTTCCACCACAGCAACAAACAAGTAAATTATTGTCAATATTAATTGAATTATTATTATTATTTGTGTCATTAACTAAAATATTTGGAGATATATTAATATTATCCTTTAGAGAAACACCTGTGCAAATGTTATTGTTGACTAACGTAGCCTTTGTACAACGCCAGGAGTGTCTATTAATATTTATAAAGTTTTTATAACAATACGGACATTTACTTGCATTAATTGTTAAAATTGAGTTTAAAATCAAAAATAAAATAATTAAATATTTAAAATTAAAACTATTTAAAAAATTATTGACCGCTATAATTTTACGCCAATTTAGAATCCATTTTCAAACTATTAAACTTTATAAAACAGATTAAAATATATAAAAACAGTGAGTAAGCAGAAATTGGCCAACTCTCATGTTTCAACGTATAATAATAATAATAATAATTTTAATAATAATAATAATAATGGGAACAATCTTTTATTCAGCAATAAAATCAATGAAAATAGCAGTACAAAAAAAATAAAATAATGAAATAAAATAAAATAAAATGTCAAATGCAATAAATAGAGTATTAACCTCAGAAGCTCATCATTCGAATCGAGAGAGTACGACCAGAGTTAATTAGTTTTAAAATTGATTCATTTCACATTTCTGTCGCAAATAGATAGCATACGACGATGATATAGCAGAGTTTATAAGGTTATTGCAAAAATAATCAGTCCAAATAATATTTATTAGCGAAAGATTAAATGTTTTAAAGAGACCTAAAGTAGATATTTCAAATGTATTTATTATTATTTTTGAATGTTTTAAGTCGTCGTTTAAGTTATTTTTCAAGCTATTAGAATATTTTGATTGTTTGTAGTTCTTAGAGTTGAAGAAGTTAGTCTCATGGCAAACTGTCAACTCCAGGTTTCCAACGTTTCGCCGCGTAGCAATGCGATATATAGTCGCAATGTTTTGAATAAGCGTGATGGTGATTGAAAATTGCCTGTATTTCTTTGCAAGACCACCAGAATCGCTGTCTAAGCTGAGATGTAATGTCTGATTTTTTTCTCAGCACGTTTAGACATCTTCAACGACTGCAGCTTTGAACGAATAGCTTTACTTGTGTTGGTGATTTGATTGTCAAAGTAGTGATTGTTGTTGCCAAGTACTTTTAGATGTTTCAATTTATTTTTTAGCTCTTTGATGCTTTTGTTTGTGATATTATTCTGGTCGGTATGAGTATTTATCGTGACATAATTTTGAGCAAAATAATAGTACATCATTTTTTGAAATTTGATTGTGAATTCGTTGATGTTGTTGAGACTTGGTAGATGTTTGCGTTGTAGCTGGAAAAAAGTGTTGGCTTCTGACCATTGGGCTGGCGTTTTTGGTAATTTGACGCTAGAGAAAGCTGATTCCGTTGCTACAACCGCTTGCGCTGACGTCGATGACGAAGATGCGCCGTGGTTTGGAGTTGAAGTTGATTCCTCTGGCGATGCTCTGTTGTTATCCGTTAAGTTTTGTGGTAGTCGAAGCGATTTGTACATTTTGCACGAACGTTGATGCATAATTAGACCCTTACGGCCCTTGCACATTTTACAACAACATGATATTAAATTATTATTTTTCAAATTAATAGAATGATTGCCAACAGAATTTGCGTTATAATTGTTTGACGAAATATTAACGTTTGAATTTACACCTGTGCGAACAACATTAGTATCGAAATATCCAACATTCTTAGTACAGCGCCAGGAGTGTCTACCAACGTTTATGAATATTCTATCACAATGCGACATTTATTTGGATTTACACTATAAATTCCGTTAATTAAAAAAATTAAAATTAAATAAAAAGCATAATAGAATCTAAATTTTAAAACTATTTCCATTATCTGCAGAATTATTCCTTTTCAAACAACCAATTTTAAAACTAATTGAACAATTAAAAACTAGTAAGGGTCTAATTATGCAGAAAACCAAAAAAGCAAAGAGTAAAATAATAATAATAATGATAATAGAAATTAAGTTTAAAATTAAAATAAAATATAAAACGTAATAAAATGGAACTTTTATAAAAACAGCCGCAATTTTACAAACAAGATGAACCTAATTTAAAACTGATTTAATTAAAGACATTAAAATCAAAATTATGTATAAAAACAGTGAGCTGAAACATTTCTGCCAACTCTCGTGCCAACATACATTTATTTATTTATTTGAAAAAGCACAAAAAAGTAAATAAATACTTGTAACAGTGTCTTAACTAAAAGTAACAATATCAACAGAAAGTAACTAAAAATGCAATGGTAGTAACAAATTATTGATAATAATAGATATACATACACATTACACATACATACATACATACACACATGTACATAAACTAATTAGCATATTCACATATAAACAGAGACGAAAAAATAACTAAAAATTCAATTGGTAGTAATAAATTATTATTGATAATAATAAATATATATACACATATATATATTTGCTCAAAAAATCCACCGACGACCCAGCACCCATAAATTCATAAGCCAACCCTTCAATTAAAAATTCAACACATAAACCCACAAACGCCGGACCGTCGGCGGACCCTCTGATGTTTGGAATTTGGTCTTCTTCCTAATTTTACATACACATATACACACACATACATATATAAAAACTAATTAGCATATTCACATATATACAGAGAGGAGAAATAACTAAAAATGCAATCGGTAGTAACAAATTATGACACATACATTAACATGTTACAAGTAGTAGCATAAATATAAAAATTACACAATGTAATGATAGAAATATAAGCGGATGGACTGGAATGGAGTGGCATGTTCATTCACACCCACACACACACACTCATTCACCCACACACACCCACATCTACACACGCAGTGTAATAGCAATAATAGCAATACTATAGAGCAATTTATTTACAATATAATTATAATCAGAAGAATTATAAGATAAAAATTTAATGAATTTCTAATTTAATAATTGAAATAACATAGGCCATAACAACGAACACAAAATGAATGACAACGAGAAACTCAAACAAGCTATTTATTTAATATTTATTAAGATGTCATGTTATATTATTATTATTATCATTATTATCAACAATTTATTAAGCGCATTATAAAATTGAAATTTTTCGAAAGCGCTCTCTTTTATAAATGAAATCAGTTATTTTTGCAGATCTATTCTGTATCGATTGAAGAAAAGCAATAGCAATCCATTGAACAAGCTATTACAGCAGTCTAACCGTGAATGAACAAACGCATGAATTAGTGTTTGCATGGGTGTTTGATGTAAATATTTTCGAACGCGGTATAACTGGCAAAGCTGATAAGAACGTGTACTGACAGGTAAAAATTGAGTTTTATCTTGATTCAATTTGAGACAATTTCTTGACATCCATGTACCTACATAAAGCCATTAACACAAACAAAACCAACAACAACAATAATAATAACACCATTATACTATGTTATAAAAATTTCATGTTTTCGTCCTACAAAACTGATGAAAAAATCATGAAGAAGATAATCCATAAAAATATTAAACAAACTAACCCGAACGATAGATCTATTGCAGAAACTACAAAACATCTAACCTTTTAATTTTGAATAATTGCCTACCTCACAACACTTCCCTTTTGAAATGTAATCATCTGATACATAAATTTTCTTGTCCTCTTGACGATTGTGTGCTTCTTTAAACTTTCTATATAGGGATGACTATTACAACACTATCGCGTAGACTCACTATACACAAAAGAGACGCTATATCACAACACCCCAATAACTAGAAACCTTCTAGACAACAAAACAAAATTATTTTACAACAATCAACAGCACTACAATCTAAGAATCGCAGAAGCCATTTTCATCGAATCTGAAAAACCTTCCATCAACATCCAACAACGAATCACAACAACACTTCCAACTCGAAGAATGAGCAACAATAACGTTAATCTGATCAGCCAGCAATCTAACAATGATGATAATAACAATAATGATAATAACGACACCATCAACAACAACAACAATAATGTGAACTCTCTTTTATATCCAGAAAAACATGAAATATAGTAAAATGAGATAAAAGTCTAATTAAAATCTAATTAAATGAAATAAATTAAATTAAATACAATAGTATTCTACGATGTTCATCATTTGAAATAAACGAGTACAACAATATATAGTTAGTTTTAAACGAGCATTTCAAATGTTATTGCGTTCACAGTATATGGCATAAGATGACGGTATTACAGAGTTAATAAGTTTATTAAAAATTGATCTGACCAAATGTTATTGATTAGTGATAAATTTAAAAAATTGCAAAAACCCAATGTTGAAATTTCAACTATTATTTTCAGGTGTATTAAAATGTCATGCAAATTATTTTTGAGGTTTTCTGAGTATTTGGTGGTTTTATATTCTTTTGAGTTGAGTAGGTTGGATTCATGGCAGACCGTCAGCTCCAATATTTCTATTATGTCGTCACAAAGTTTTGCGATGTCAGGACGTAGGGATTTGAAGAGACAAGACACTGGAGGGATCCCATCATAATCCACATCGGCATATATCGAAACCTCTGGACCCGCGCATACTTTCAATCTTTCTATAATTATGTTTAAAATTTTGTTGTAACGAGTTGTGAATCTTTTCAGTGCTGTCACCAAACTGCAGTTGGACGGAACATGTTTGTTTGTTTGCCACGCTTTACACAATGGACAGTCAGCCGTTGATGATTTGCCCCATCTGAACAAATTTGCATTTGTGTGGAGTTGTTGGATGAGACTTTTTCTAGCAAATTTGAACAGTACTTCTGAGGTTTGCAGTAAATTTCGACCAGTGAGCAATTCTAGCAGCGGAAATCTGGTCTTTGATCACTGTTAAAATTGTCCCTTGGCAACGGAGTAGCGATAGATGTTTGAGTTCTGCATATTGTTGTTGGATCGTTAACATGCTGAGTGCCGGTTTTATGTCCTTTGAGTCAGGAAGCAAATTGTCGATTTTTATATAGTTGCTATAGGACTCGCTCCATAAACATTTGAGTTCTTCGTTGCCGTTTGGTGTCAGGTAGCTACGGAGTTTTAATCTCAAAGATTCGGCAAAATTTATGAAAGTTCTAACGTTTAGGCCGCCTAATTTATATGGGAGCGACAATGTCTCCGACAGACAGCTACTAATGGACAATGACAGCCATGATCTTACTGTTTCGGTGATTAGGGTGTCCAGATGCATAGTAATCCAAGTCAGTAAAATATTGTACATACGAAATTCAGACGCAAATTGAGATGGAAGATATTTTCTAAAGATTTCAAGCTTCCACTGAACTGTTGTATCTAGTTCACTCACGGTTGATAGTAATGTTTTAAGTTTGATGATCATCTGGTTTTTGGCGTTTGTGTTATTGCCTTTGAAATCATATTTTTTCCCAGATATTCAAAATAACCTCCGATGTCAACATGGGAGATTTGTTTGATGTCGATGGATAGCGCCGGAAGGAATTGTTCGTAAACCCCGCTGCGTTTTCGCTTACCGAACGTGAAACACTTATCAATTCTCAAACTCATTCCAGTTGCATTGCACCAAGCGTGATTTACATCTATGAGTTTTTGAGCACTTTCGGTGCTGTTGGCGATAATGGCCGTGTCGTCTGTGAACTGAAGCCACGCTCTTGTCTTTAAGCTAGCTGACGAACCCCATATGTACCCGCATTGTTGGTATTCTGTTTGTTCTATGACTTTCATCAGGGGGTTAAAGCAGAGGTTGAAGAGCAGTGGAGACACGGGATCACCTTGCAATACACCACGCTTGATTGGAATGGGCGGGGTTAGTTGGTCGCACCCGGAAACTATGATTGAGTAGTCGGTATATATGAGTTTGATAATTTGAGAGGAGATGTGATGAAAATCCAGAGTTGATGATATGAGTTTATGGCTGACTTCGCCGAATGCGTTGCGAATATCGAGAAGTGCGACGATAATGGTTCTTCGATGTTTCTTCGCATCGTAGAGTAGGTGAGTTAAAAGCTGATTATGTCCCGTAACACCAGCTATTTTCGGGTAAAAGCCCTTTTGGATGTTTTTATTTATGAAATTGTTGATTTCTAAAATTTCTAAAAATTTGTAGATTCTATTATTTATGAAGAATGAAAATATTTTGTAGAGTGTAGGTTGCAAGGTTATTGGTCTGAAGTTGGAAGGATCGTGAGCGTCTCCTTTTTTTGGATGAGGATCGTGAAGCCCTTTTTCCAACAAATTGGGATTTTGCATTGTATTAACAGTTTGTGTAGAATAGTGCGTAATATAGGGCATTTTTAAATGAAATTATCGAGATTTGATCGAGTGGGCAAGGTGATGATTTAGCTTTGTACTTGCGAACTATTGTAGATATTTCGTGGTATGATGAAGGGCTTGTGTTGCAGGGTGTTGATGGTTTTTGTAGTTGTTGAGTCCAGTTTGGCAGTTGGCATTTTTTCTGGTTATCATCTGATAGTATTTGTTTGAAATGACGCCTGCAATCACTGGCGTTGAACAGCGTTTTCAAATTTTCCGTCTGGGCTAATGTTCTTTTGCATGTCCACCAGAATTATTATTATTATAAAAACATTAATAATAACATTAATAATAATAATAAATTGCATACACAAAGAGGAGCCAACAATTTTGTATAATTCATACTATACTGTATAAAATATGGTCTCCCTCCATATATATATAAAACATGTAACATTTTGCCCCCTGGCGGCTAGTGAAGTTGCTTACTTTTCATCCTACAGGTCTGTTTTATCCTCGGAAAATAAAATATATATAACACTGAACACTAACATTCCTTCTATCTTCTTTCTTTCTTCTTTCTCGTGTCTTATCTTTTCAGAGCTTTGGCGACCATCGACCTCCACAAAACCCGATTTATAACACTTTGTAAGAGTTGAAGTGCGGTGAAATTTAACAAGTGACACAAGGAATTCACGAATGTTATTCGTTGTTGACCGCGATCTATTTTCCCTGCAATCTTTCCATTAGTTGTTATATTTTCTATTATTTCCTTACGCATGATGTGACAAAAAAATTTAACTGTCCCAGTCGGATTATCTGTCTATATAATCAAAAATACCTTTTATTGATTTTTATTTTAAGTATATGATTTCTGCCTTGTGCTTTTAGTCTTTGGTTAATTATGATAATTACGTCTAATTTATGTAGGAAAAAAGTATTCCAGCTTGTGTGATGCTCGGTAACCGACTGATAGTTTTATTTTTATGATTATCGTACTTCGGCGTTATTAAATTCAGTTTTTGTTTCAAATATGACTGGCAATATGGGAATGGAACAGTTAATTCCGATAGTCAATCGCTTGCAAGATGCATTTTCGTCCATCGGAGTACCCTTATCGTTAGATTTACCCCAAATTGCTGTTGTGGGCAGCCAAAGCGCCGGAAAGAGCAGTGTGCTTGAAAATTTCGTTGGAAGGTTTGTTTTTTAATTTTTAGAATGCCCAATTTTAAGGTGCTTGAAGTTTGCCAACAATTTTTACAGCCAGCCAGGGATTTTTTAATACTTTTAATATTTTTGGATTTTAATTTTAAACTTCAATTTTCAAGCAAATTGTTAAAATAAAATTATATAATAAAAGTAATCAAAGGTGGATGAAAATTTCAAGGTGCGTGAAGTTAGCCTTGCAAGCTAAAGAGCCTCAAATACATATTTGTACTGCAGAAATTTTAAAAAATCAAGTGATGATAATAGATAAATAATTCATAAATAATTCATTCAAATTTTTACCAGAGATTCTTTGATGTGCTTACAATTTGTTTAAAAAATCTAACTTTTACTGTGTTCTTTTACCAATTTTCTAATTTAAAAAATTAGGCGATGTTATGTTATATGTTGATTGATTTATAATTCTAGCTTTGCCCATGTTACAGCAGGTGATAAATATGAATAAATATAGAGGGCATATGCTTATCTGTATATATTACATATCGGTATATCTTGACAACCGGGTTTCATTTTTCCTGGGAGTTAGAGGCAAAACAAATTAGAGTCCAGCATATATCAGCTACGCTGAATAATCTACTAGATGAATGGAACAGATGTGAAATAGCTGTTATCATCAAAGATGAACTCAACAAAGCTCAAGACAAAAGACTCAATACTTATAAATAACCTAGCAACCGAGGAATATTGGTATACATGCATCCAAGTTTATGTGTACAAATCTGTGTACAAAAATGTCCACAATAAGCAGATGTATTAAACAGAAATTTTTTTATAAAATTATGTTTTTAATTAAAATTTTTGTAATTTCTTATTATTGAATTATGAACTATGTTTGCATTTGCCTTTTTACACATAAATGCAAAAATTTAGATATATGTTTATTTATTATAATATAATTGAGCACATATGCACATGTATATATATATATATATTCATTTATATATATATATATATATAGATGTATATACATACGCTAAAGAGTTGTTTCTAGTTGGTATAGTTGTTGTTTTCTGTTTCATTTTTTTTTAAATATGTATAATTCGTGTTGGTTACTCAATCTTGCTATCATAAAGCCTCTGGTAAATAAATATAAATTATACATACATATATAAAAGTCTGCCAATCATTTAATTTATTAATCTACTCCACGAATTTGTTATAACAGTTTTAATCTATAATTGAAAAATTGTTTTTCCATTTTGTTTATTATTTTTATTATTTGTTTATTTTTTGTTTTCAATAAAGAGCATGCCAATTGCATTTATAATGATATTTACATATCTACAAATCTCAATTTTCAAATTTTCACAGAAAATGTATCAATAGAATGCTATTCAGTTTGTAGAAATAGTATTGTCACGATTCTTAGGTTATTTTTTATTGTTTATTTTTGTTTTTTACAAATAAATAAGCTGATTCAAAGGATTCAAAAAATTTACCGATCGCATAACTTTCTAACATTCATCAAAATTCATCAATGATATGGTAATTTGCTTTGTAAAAATTGATATTGTATCACGTTCAGTTTGCATTTTTTTCTTCCTCACAAAAATTTTACTAGGATGCTTTCATTGATTATGAAAGAATCTACTGATCACATAATTTTCTAATTCTCTATGATAATGTGTCAGTGGAATGTTAATCTGCATTGTACAACTATTGTCATGGTGTTCAATTTAATTTTTACAATTTTTTCTCATTTAAAAAAAAACATGCTGAGGCGTTTTTAACGGTTTAAAAATATCTACAGGTTGCATAACTTTTTAATTTTTATTGTCAGTTCACCAATAGAGTGTTAATCTGCACTGTAAAAATAATATTGTCTTTGTTTAGTTTTATTTATTTATACAATTTTTATGTTTTTCACAAAAAACATATACCAAAGCTATTTCAATGATTTTGAAGCATCTAATAAACTTTTAATCTTCACTACAATTAATACGACAAAAATTTGAAAATACTGTGATTATAGATTTTGAAAATTTTTAAAACTTCATCAGTAAATGTATTTTTAGGTAAAACACTAAAAAATTATGAAAAATATACTATTATTTTTGCAACACAGATTGACATCCTATTCATTAATGTTTGGTGGCTATTGGAAAATCATGTGGTGGTAGTTTATTTTTGCAGGATGGCCTAGTCTAGTGGTTAAGGTAACTTGGTGCTGGTTTGCAGTGTGTTCAACAAACATTGATATTGATGTTATGCAACAATTGTACTTTTGACTATGTGATTGGCTTATGCTTATTTTTATTCCTTGAATGACTAAATGTATCTCAAGTAATTGAAATCTAATTTATTTGTATATTTAAAATGTTAAAAAAAATAAAATGTTTGTTAAAATTAATGCAGTGCACTATTTCGACCAAATGTTTAATTTAGATATTAAAGTTTTTGATTTATGTTTTTTGACTTTTTAGAACATTTGAATTTTTACATTGTTTGAGAATGAAGACATATTTGTAAATCTGCTTTTTCAAAAAAATTTGTGATTTTGTGTCCAAAAGTTTTAAAAATGGGAAATGGGAGGGAATGAGGGGGAAAACGCTGGAATGAATTAAAAAAATAGGCAATGAGAAATTTTGGAAACGTTGTCATAAATAGGAATTCGGGAGGGAATCGGGAATGAAAAAAAGTGGAATGGTATTGGGAACAAATTTCAATTCCCGCTCACTTCTAGTTCAATGACTAGTTTTGAATGTGACAAAAAGATTCCTACCTATAACATGATTTGTGTGATGCGTCGTATAGCATGTATTCATATACAAAGTGTGTTGCTGATTCCTCAGAATCTAGTAATAGACCTTTGACCGTTTTTTAAATTGTTAAAACCGCTTTCAGCATGTTTTTTGTGTAAAACAAAAACAAAATCACAAAAAATAATCTAAACATTGTGATAATATTGTTTTGTAACTCAAATTAGCATTCCAATTGATGAACTTTTGGCCAAATCTGGAATGGAAATTTATGCTGTCAGTAGATTTTTTGAATTGTTAACGCTATCAGCATATCAGTCATTCAATGTCAACCCGAACAATTTTATAAAAAAATTCACGCCCGGCTATCTCCGATTTTTTTTTAATTTCAACATGTACCTCAATGTATTTCATTGACAAAATAAAAATTTTATAAAATAATTTCAGTTATTTTTCAAGTTATGAAGATTTTTGTGACACCGTTTTTCAATTTTTGAGTGGTGTTTTAAAAACTTGTACCTATGTAGAACGCCATATTTCTCAAACTACCTAATATTTGCTAATGAAATGTTTTGTACATATTAGTGAAACAATGTAATAACAGAAAAAACCGTTGTCCTGAATCATAAAATTCTTTCCACCAAAGTTTTTAGCAAAATGAATAATTGTTTTATTATATATTTAAAAAAATTTATAGTCTTAATTGATAAACAAAATTTTGTTAAAATCTGTTGTCAATTTTTCGTGCTATTGGTCAAATTCTCATTTTATTTTGCGTCATTTTTAACCACAAAAATTGTTTTCAATCTTAATGCTTTTTAGTGCTTTTATAGCTTTGTTTTTGTTGTCCGCCGAGGCGGCAAGAATGTTGCGTTGCACTTAAGTTACTTTCGGCCTTTTTTGAGACCGTGACCTAGGAGTAAGAAGTTTTGAGACTACTTACTACAAAATCTGAGGTGCATAGTTTTCAACAACAGGGGCATTGATGACCAGTTGGTGTCAGTTTTCATGATGTCTCCATTCTAAAAAAATTGCGAGACCAACTTAACAAATCTTCTTCCATGTAAACCGATCTTTTGCCGTTTTTTCAAGTCCACTCGCGTTGATGTTACATTTCTGAAGTACGCTTTCCACTTGGTTCACAAAGCGCTTCTTTGGCCAATCGATGGAATGACAGTCGACTGATAGTTCGCTGTATAACTATCTACAAGGCTTATGAGACTCCGCAAAGTAGATGAGACTTCGCCATGCGAATAACGTGACCTATCCAGCGCAACTGTTGTAACAATGGATATTCAGACTGTAGTATCCGCAATCTTGAACATGTCTGTGAGGTGTATTTTGTGCCACCATCTTATTCCATAAATCTTGCGAAGACAGTAAACATGGTAGGCCTCGAGGGACTTGGGATGTCAACGATAAAGAGTCCAGGATTCACAATAATGCAGTGTAGAAATGTAAACAGCATTATTCACAGCAATGTTGGTCGTCACAGTAAGTTTGTCATTTAAAATAACGCGACTCCCCAGTCTGCCAAATGCAGCCGACGTCAGCCTAATGCGAAGTTCTATCTCACGATCAAAATATCAATGTTGCTGAGGACATTACTAGGATACATGAACTTTTTTGAATTATTGAGAACATCTACTTGAACCACGAAAGGTGTTGCAAATCATCAAAAATTCTATCTTGCGATACTTGGCTTTCCGTCTTGAATCGGCGTATGTTGAAGAAACCGCCGTCAAGACGGAAACAAAACGAAATGCCCGCGTCAGATGGAAAACCATTACGATATGTAAAAACGGCGGCAGTAAACAGATTAAAGATCACAAGAGCCAAAACGCAGCAGCCCTGTTTTATCTCTACCAAAACATCAAACGATTCACGATTCAGTATGAAATTCACGCAGTACTACCAGAAATTTAGGTAGGCAGCCAAAATTGCCAAGGTTCATCCATAACAAGTCTCTATTGGCTGTCATAAGCATTTGTCAGATAGATAAAGGCAAGAAAAAGATCCTAGTTTTGTTCGCGGCACCTTTTCATAAGAAAGCTTACAGCTAAGGTCATATCGATAGTACTACCTCCATCACGGAAGCCACATTGCAATTTTGAGATGATATCTTCCACAATGATAGTGAGTTTGATTAGCTAACTAATATATTTAATTCTTCTTACAGCACTTCAAGCATTTTGTTAGGTAGGGTAATGAGATTTATATTTACCTACTGATGAGTTTATTGGTGGATGGATATCTGTTTATTTGTGTTAA